GCCCAAGTTTCTGAGTCGCCATCAGTATGCAAACCGGGGACACCTCTCGCTACACCTACCTCGGGCTGTCCCACGCCCGTGTCCTCCTCAGCGCBTGTCAAGAGGGGTGGGTTGTCCCGTCTGAGGAGTTCGCCGGGGGAGCCTATTCGTCTCACACCGCAGCCGGAACGTCTTCGACCCGGCCATCGAGTTCCTCCGGACCATCCGCATCTCAAGGCTTCTGCGACTCCCTTCCACATGGGCGACAAACACACCTTCTCCACAGCCGAAGATTGGGGCCATGATATCGTGTGGCACCCAGACCATTTCCAGCCAGTCCTTCTCGACGGCGAATGGGCAGTGGCTGTGAGGGACGTAAGTGGAGGGTGGATATATGACGATCATTGGGACCTCGAGACATTCAAATCTTGCGCCTACGATGCGGTATTGGAGAGATTAAGTAAGGTCAGTCGAGGAAATAAGGACGACCCTGCTCTTCGCGAATACGGGGACACGCTGTTCGAGTTCTTGCAGTCAAATAAATGGTTGGAAGTGTCCTCTGCGTTCTACACCGTTCCGTCAAGCCCGTCAATTAAGCAAGTGAGTTGGGAGTTGCCTGGGGTCACCCCGCCGGCAGGAGTTGTGAAGCACAAGTCTCGCGGAAACGACGGCGGCGTGTGCCTCTCCAATGTGCATTCGGCTGCATACCTAGAAGAGTTTCCAACGGGTCATCGCTGAACGTTGTGGATGGGTGGCTTGGCCACTGTTGGCTGTGAGTGCGACACGGGCGATTCGTGTTGGAGGTGCGAGTTTATCGTGAGGCTTCCAGCTATCAGCGCTGCGATTACAGATCGTCTGATAGACGTCAACACCGGAGATGGATGGACGGGATCTTAAATTCGATCGACACGCGTTTTTCAGATGACGTCTCCGGTGTTGACGTCTATCGGGTGATATGTTATCGCAGCAGTGATCACATACCGCGATTTTGAGGACGCCAGGGAGCAATCGCGGTGAAACTTCGTCCACGCGTCAGATGCGGTCGTTGGAGGCGGTCGACGATCTTGACTGCGAAAGCCACAGACCATTTCGAATTCCAGACGTCATGTGCAAGATGGTGACGTCAGCGTGTGTCAGTGGAAGGGAACTTTCGTAAGTGTGAGCAGCGGACATCGTGGGCTGAAGATCGCGTGCATGTCGACTCGTGCGTGACAGACGGAGCAGGCGGTGATGTAGAAGAATACTGGCACGACCGACTGCATTGCGATATCCTAAGTAGACTGGGGGAGGACGACCCGCGAGCCAGGGTCCAAGAAAGTGTACCAACAAGCGATGTCGAGCACACCAAGACTCGAGGGCGATGCGACTTTCTCTACGCGTCAGATGCGGTCGACGGAGGGTGCCAAGACTAGAGGGCGATGTTGAGGACGCCAACAAGCGATGGTGAGGACGCCAACAAGCGATGTTGAGGACGCAAACAAGCGATGTTGAGGACGCCAAGACTCGAGGCCGATGACTGTGAAAGCCGCAAGCCATTGCCCGTCGCTGACGTCATGTGCAAGATGATGACGTAAGCATGTGTCATTGCATGGGGTCTTCCGTCGTTGTGATCGGTGGGCGTCGTGCGCTCAAGATCGTGCGCGCGTGATTGGCGGAGCAGGTGGTGGCAGAGAACAAGACCTGCACGGTCGAAAGAGTGGAAGGGCAATGGGAAGTGGTCGGGGCTTGAAATGGTGAAGGGGTCAAGCAGGGGGCATGGGCTTCTTACTGACCTGCGAGTCGACAAACGCCTCCAGCCAACACAAGAAAGCACAGCGCGAACGGGACGACGCGCAAGGTCTACAATCGCTTGACGTTCTTGTTAGCTCCCCCGACTATCGACGATTGCTGGAAGAACGAGGGGCTGGATGCGCAAGGGGCCTGCGATATAATGCAGGTGACTTCGAGTAATGGCAGACGCGTCGCAAAGGCAGCACACGGAAGAAATGACACCAGCGAACGGGTGTGACAGCCACCCCCATTCGTTTGGTGCCTGACAGGAGAACGGAGAGTGCACTTAGTGGGGCTTGAGGGGCCCTTTAGCTCCCCACCGCAGGTATTGCCGCGTCGGGGGTTGTGACATCAGGCGGTCCCTTTTTTGACGGACCCTCCTCACGAAATCGCACGGTTCGAAACCGTCGCAGGAGGGCAGGCCGTGATTGCGAGAGGACTGGCCTTTTTTCACCGTGCTATCGACGGTCCCAATGCATCATCTTGCGCAAATTTTCCCGCCTACTTTTGAATATCGGGGCCTACGCGAATTTTACCGTGATATCGACGGTTCCAACGCGTCATCGGGCGTGACTTTTCCCGCCCACTTTCGTTTCTTGGGCCCCGCTCGGATGTATCCGCCATTTGAATGACGGTGGCGCCATTCCGCGAATTTGCAGGTGGGCATTGCAATCGTCCGAAGCAGCAGGCAATCGCAGGTGTCGCCAACCCTCACGGCCGAAACTGCCCGTCGCACGCCCGGACCACCCGCCCTTGCCAGCGACACAGCCATCTCGTCGTCGAGGGACACAGCCATCTCGTGGCCGTCTCCCCCGCCGTTTGCCTCGCTTCTCTCTGTCTCCCTCCTCGCCATATCCCTCGGCTCGCCATCTCCTTCGCGTCACAATCTCCCACGTCTCCATTCACGGTTTTGCCCTCTCACGCGTCGGCACCTCCCTTTTCGCGCGTCGCGACACGTGTCGTCGTATTGCGGTTTGAGATCATCAACCAGGTCGCCGGGGCCATTGTTTCCAGCAACAGTTGTAAATCTAGGAAAGAAAAGGTGCGTTCTCTCTCTCATTCTATCTCCCTTTCTCATCTCTCTTTGTCTCACTCCCCGTCTCTCTCTCTCTATTTGGCTCTACCTCTTTCTCTCTCTCTCTCTCTCTCTCTCTCTCTCTCTCTCTCTCTCTCT